TGTACAACAATTCAAGCACCACAATAATGTTCAAAGCAGCAGCTCTAGCACGATCGTGAGAAGTCTGATATTGGAGAGTAGCAAAGAGAAAATTAGCTACGAGATCAGTCAGTCGAATTATTCGCGGCTTCTATCCACGAATACGACGGCACTGCACTCTACATGTTCTGTCTATCTTTTTTGGCATGTGGGGGCCTTCAAAACATTATTCACTTTTCATAGCGCTACTCTCCAATATCAGATTTCTCATGGTCGTGCTAGAGCTGCTGCTTTGAACATTATTGTGCTGCTTGAATTGTTGTACAAGTATCAGCATTAGTCATTCACGGTGATGATTCGAAGATTTGGTGACACAGACAGAAGTCCTTGAAGCCCAGTTTTCACTCTGACATGCTTGGCCTTCACGCATATACTCTCACATTCAGTACGGTACGCAGTTACAGTAGTCGATGTTTACGTGAATGGCCAAAAAAGTCGCTTTTCCTCCTTGACTTTCGAGGCGCTATAAGTTACACTTTATTGAATTCTGATCGGACATTTCTACAACCATATTAAAGAGCATATTGTAATACTATCATGATACCGCCACAGCCTTCTGGAGAGCGCCATCGAGAGATTCTGCCACGCGACCGTGATTCGGTGCCTGAGTTCAGCGAGATCGTTGATTTCTCCGCCACTGTAGGCCACCCTGTTGAGCTCCGCCCGAACCGGGCAATTCAGGGGGTTTAGATTAGGTGGCCCTACCAGGGAGGTCGTTCAGGACGTGGAGCGCTTTTTGAAAACGGTTTTTTGCATGATGTGGGGTCACGTGCATGGAGTACCAAACTGGTGTTCATTTTTCCTGAACGCCTCTGGGAATGCCAAAAATGGAGTGAAAAAGAAGTCCATGGAAACCGACTGTTTTTGAGCCTCAGTGGGCTCTAAATCCCTTGCAACTTTGACCATTTGCTGAGTGGAGGGTCCTTATAAAGGTACTATAGGAATCGAGGAGGAAAATAGTCGCAAATGGGGTCTTACTTGAGGCACGTGATTAAGAGTGAGCGGCTCTGAGCGGCTCGTCGAATGGTTTCTTCAACGATTGGAGCGGTGTTCAGCTACAACGATCGGATGGCCTAGTGGATAGCGTGGAGGATTCTCAAGCGGACAGTGAGGGTGGGGGTTGATGGTTCGACTCCCCTCGGCTTGCGAGTTTTTGCATTTTTTATGTTCCGCTGTTCTCGCTTCCATATATGTCTGTTTATGAATTTTACTCGGATATCTACCATTTATAGGCACATTCTAAATAGTTATACCCCATTTTGGTGCTATTCAGCAATTTCGATTTCACATACCATTAAGCAAGAACTTGTCTGAAAGTTGAGCTTTATATGTTATTCGGTGCCCTGATCACGACTATGGCATTTACTTTCAGCTCTAGTGCCATTTATCCCCAATTTGGAGCCACGTCTTTCTCCCACTGTAGTCGCTATGTACACTCATTTGAGGGACTTTCAGGGCCATTCTGACGCCAGATTGCGTCAGCGCCAAGAATAAGTGTCAGAATCGTGATCAGGACCATCGATTACCCCTATAGGCAAACTTTCGGCCAAAAAATTTTTTTGACTTTCTTGAGTTGTGATAGACCATTTGGTCGGCAGTGATGACCGGAGTCCCACACCTTCGGAGCGGTGATGACGTAACGATGACGTGGTGGGCCGCCGGGCAGCCGTATCGCGGATTTGGTGCTCATAAGGTCCATTCATACTTGGCATGGGCATGGGTGGCCGCAGAACAAGTGAAAAACCATCCTGGACATTTGTCGACCCCTAGCGACTGCTCGCTCAACCAAGATGTCGTCCTCCCCTACCAAGAGACTCATTCGATTTCCTTCACTTTTTCAAATGCACCTGGAGGAATGATAACCTTTTGTTCTTTTTTCGATGGCGTTTATGGTTGTTGCTAGTTTTTTGTCTCCGTACCACTGAATGAGGGTTTCGATAACCAGCAAAAGTACGACTTCAACAGAAGTGACTCTTGAGCATAACCCAATGCACAGACTCAAAAAGTCAAAAAATTTTTTGGCTGAAAGTTTGCCTATAGGGGTAATCGATGGTCCTGATCACGATTCTGACACTTATTCTTGACGTCAACCCAATCTGGCGTCAGAATGGCCCTGCAAGTCCCTCAAACGAATGTACATAGCGACTCCAGTGGGAGAAAGACGTGGCTCCAAATTGGGGATAAATGGCACAGCTGAAAGTAAGTGTAAAGATCAACTTTTAGAAAAGTTATTGCTCAATCGTATGTGAAATCAAAATTGTTGAATAGCACCAACTAATGGGGTATAACTATTTAGAATGTGCCTATAAATGGTAGCTATCCGAGTAAAATTCATAAACAGACATATATGGAAGCGAGAACAGCGGAACATAAAAAATGCAAAAACTCGCAAGCCGAGGGGAGTCGAACCATGAACCCCCACCCTCACTGTCCGCTTGAGAATCCTCCACGCTATCCACTAGGCCATCCGATCGTTGTAGCTGAACACCGCTCCAATCGTTGAAGAAACCATTCCGACGAGCCGCTCAGAGCCGCTCACTCTTAATCACGTGCCTCAAGTAAGACCCCATTTGCGACTATTTTCCTCCTCGATTCCTATAGTACCTTTATAAGGACCCTCCACTCAGCAAATAGTCAAAGTTGCAAGTGATTTAGAGCCCACTGAGGCTCAAAAACAGTCGGTTTCCATGGACTTCTTTTTCACTCCTTTTTTGGTATTCCCAGAGGCGTTCAGGAAAAATGAACACAGTTTGGTACTCCATGCACGTGACCCCACATCATGCAAAAAACCGTTTTCAAAAAGCGCTCCACGTCCTGAACGACCTCCCTAGTTAGATATCCGTCTTCTTCAGGTACTCAACGCCCTTCCATTCCAAGTAGGCGAGAGTTTTTCCAACGCCCTTCGATTCCGTGTGGAGGCACCCAATCCTGTAGCAGTACGAAGTTTCCAAGAAGGTACAGGCGATGACATGAAGGCAGGATATTCTCCTCGAGTTGCGATCAGCGTTCACCTTCAGTCCGGGGTCCACGAAGAAAATATCGGTCTTCACATTCCAGGAACTTCCGGTCCATACCATCAACTCGCGCCTTGGCGACTGCGGTTGGAGGTCTTCCAGATCGAGAGTACTGGTCTCCAGGTAGCTATCCATGGGTGACTCCATACTAGAAGTTTCGCAGCTGTTTGGAGGTGACATGAATTCCAAAGGTCTTCTCCAGTCAGGCTGCGACTGGAGATGACTTCATATTTTGGTGTACATGAAGGTGATGGGCGAGAGCCAGCTCCTGCTTATCGAGGAACATCTTCCGCCCTGGTACTCGTATCCACGTCTTCTGTCTGGGCTGCGAAAACTTTGCTGATATGTGACTCGGTCGAAGTGTCTTTTTTGCCTCCCCCCTGTATATAGCAATCACCAACTGCGTTTCGCTTTTTGTAGCTTTTGAAACCACACCTTGCTTTCGAATATGGTGAAATGTACGGCCAAATACTTCTAACAATATGGTAAATGATACACTAGTCTAGAAAAAAAGCATTAAAAACTCGTACAATATGCCTTCATTAGAGCCACATGCTAGACTGCGCTTGTACGTGTCCTAGACAAAAAAGGGCATGGTCGGCCGAGTTATCACTCGCTGATGCCCTCATCGTCTCACTTCGCCATTCAAAATGCAGACAATTAGCATCAAAGCAACCACAGCAGGTAGCAGCTAAAAAAAAGAATGTTTGGTATCGCTGTGGTCAGTGGGCGGAGCCTTGGATCAGTCGCGAGCGGTCAGCGCTTTCCTTGCAAATTTTGAGATGCGATAACAGTGAATGCTTGCAGGACCACCATGTCCAAGGCAAGCGTCTGAACAGCGAATCAATAAGGGCTGTGCGTTTAATTCAGTGCTAACACTTTTCAGGTGGCCCGAAAGCTTCGTCGTTCCTAAGTGATTTGTGGAGCTTTATGCAGATGGTTATTGTGCTCATTTTGGTGATGGGCATTTTGTATGGATTGTACAAAGTAACCGACCGATATGTCGACGAGAGCTTTATAACAGGAAGGCCGCGCAGACGATTCTACTGACAGGTATGGAAGTCTCTCGAAAATTTGAGAACAGACTAGAGCAACAACAAGTTCAAGATTCTTGGTCCAGGCTACTTTATTGGTAAACCCATTCAAAAAAAATTGCACAGGGTGATTCACTATTTTTAACAACAGGAACGCAAACGTCATATATAGTCTGATTCGCTGTGGACGAAGGGGAAGAGGATGAATTCGGCGTGATATCAAACCCGTTATCCACCAGTTATTGGTGCGAGCAAGTGACAAGACTATCACATCGTTCGTTTCACTTGTTTTCTACCAGGTGTTGTCGCATACCCGCTTCAACAACTGGCAGAGAACGGGTTTGGCGCCGTGGCACACTCATACTGCCTGACACGCCCTTCATCCGCAGCGAACATGACTGTGTCAAATGAAAGCTGGGAATCTGAAGAATACGGTGGCGTTACCGAAGCTCTTGGTCCTTACCACATACGAAGTGAATCCGCAGCTGTTGATGTGCCTCTTTTGTCACTCGAAAGTGCGTGGAGATGAGGGTGGAGGGTAATGGTAGCTGGATGGTGCCCCACCCGCAGGCAAAGCGCGCAGACACATGGCGCTACCAGCCTGTAGCCTAGTCAAGTCTTCTAAACAAATCCAGTATCAGTTTACCGTCACGGGAGAT